CTTCTGCGCTGACCTTTCATCTGTTTTATGGAAGACATCGCCAGATTGAAAAGTCATGGTCTGCGAAAATTCTCCATGCGCTCGGATAAGTTGGCTGGTTGTAATCCTACCTACTTATAACAGATTGATTTTGTCAACTTAATTAGACATCCCGAGATTTGGTTGGTTATTTCGTGCCCTTCCTGCATGCGTGCAGATATGTAAAATGGCTGCGGATGATGCACGAAGTCAACTCGGTTGCTACCAAATACCTACACTTACCGAAATATTTGGTCTTGCAATGTTGACGCATGTAATTGCTTTTTATTACACGCGTATGGTGCGCATAAATTAGAGTGAGGTGCGAAAGTGTTTAGCAGATTCGAGGTTACCCAAACCTTCTTGCTTGGCGGTATTTCTCAGTACTTGCAGTGAATTGTAGGGCGTGGCTTCATTTACTGGCCAGGTATATCACATGATCCAACGAAAACTAAACACGGATTCATCGGGGTCTCGGAATGGTTGTCGGGGGCTTATTTACGCAAACCTATTTTTACAGCTCGAAGTCAATCATCTCTCGACTTCATCTGAGGCTAATTTACGAATATCTCACGCTCTGTTTCAAACGAAATGAAAGCTACAACAATGCAAACCAAATACTTATAATATTAGTTAGGGTAGCCTCAACTTCCGGATTTTCATGATCAATTTTTGGTTCTTTGTGAAGCTCGGTGCTTTGATAAGATGAAAGATTCTTTATCTGTTTCATATTGCCTTTTCTTACATTAAATTACTGGAATCTACTTAAACAACTCTTTTAGAAGCACTAATTTACTTGAAAATAAATATATATTATAGAACTACCAATTCGCATAGATAGACATATGTTATTGTGGATATTATTTTGGTTCCTACTCACGTGTAATTCATGATATTTGGCTCTCTTTTAGTTGACATCATATAGATTTAATAACAAAGTCGAAATTTAAATTATTTTATATCGATGTTTTATTGAAATAAGATACTTTTTGGATATTTTGCCATCATCTCAAGAGGTTCGCTTCTTTATGTATCTGACTTATGCTCATTCAATAGTTTCAAAATAAATTCAAGGTATAAGCTTTAGTTCTTTCTTCATTTGCACTCATTAATATCATAGATTGCTCTCTCCTCTGGTCTTGAGTAGTATGTAGCTTGTGTTTTAGCACACTTCCAGAGCATTTTCGGTTTATCACCTTGCTATGTATCCTTTGCTAGTCGTGTATTTCTTATTATATTATTTTGCCAATGAGGCTAAGCTATTTTAGCTTATCTTTTGCAACAATTTTTTTATGCTATCAGTCTCATAAGTGCCAAAATCCTATATATTTCCACTACTATAGACTGATTTATTCTTTAAAAGTCTGCTTTTTTAATTTATTGTACTATTAAATTTACTGTTTTTTTTAAACTACTGATTCTTGCTCTGAAGAGATGACGACTCGTAGGCATATTGGAGGGAAAGCCTCCAAGTGCCATGCCTCTGCCTCGCATGATCGTCAACACTATCGAATTGCACAGTCTAGGATACTTCGCACTTCGGTTTCCATTAAAGACTCATCTGAAGACAGTAGTAATAGCACTGGAAGCAGAGGAAGCAGCACCAACACCACCACTACTGACGGTGGTAGCAACAACCTCAGCGGTTTTAGTGGGGCAGACGGCGAGACAGGCACTCTAGATGGTCGCGTTACTTCAGAAATCTCTTTCAAAAAGCGTAGCCGTAGCCTGCTTGGGTCAAGAAGTGACAAGTTGCAGTTTACAATAAACTCCGAAATGTTGAATAAGCACAGCCAAAGTTGTCACCAGCAACATCCACAGCTACAAATTGATTCATCGTCTTCCAGATCTCAGAAGATGAGCCGTCTTCCAGACTGTCGGGATGGAGACAATCATGCTCAGCCTAACGAAAATGGGGTACTGCGTGATAATCACTCCAGTGCTCATAGACGTGATCATTCTAATCTCGACTTAGTTGCTCAATCTCAAAATCCTAATCAGCAGCATAAATATTTTAAAAAAGAATCAGGGAAGGAGCTAGGAGTGAACAGAGGTGAAAAGAAGTCTCTACGTACCAGTGAAAAGCGAGGCATATCAGACAAGAATGAAGATTCATGTAGGAATTCAGAGCATAAAAGCCTTTTACCTGAGTACCATTTGAATGGAAGTGAGATTAAGAGAAGAAAGAATGAAGTAAATAATGAGGATGACAAACAGGTGATTGTTTTATAATATTGCAGTTAATTTTGCCTATATCACTTATCTCCATAATCAAGCATTTATAACGTGTCTCGTTTTATACAATGCTTATTTGAGATATTTAACACTTACTTTCCTTAAATGTATAAAAAGAATCAAATTACCGATATATCAGGTATATCAGGCTAGTTTCGAGGACAGGCCTACTAGAGCTAAAGGTTATCATACTCAGTAATTGCTATCGATAACTTTTGGTAAACTGATTCAACCTAAATAAAGTTTCACATAGTTTCATTTAGCATTCTTCCTCTTAGGCATCAATATTACTACTTATCTTAATAGCGATGTCAAGAAGTGTGGTATACTATACCATACCATACAAATGTAAATACTGTCATTTTCGTATTATCACCGAGAGGCATCAACATATTTTAATTATATCGAAAGTAAGAAGATTAAGATGGCATGGCCTTTTGTGTGGTCGCAGTCTCCTTTCGTTGTATAAAGGTTGCTTGACCTTGTTTTCTCAAGTTGGTCATATTGGTAAGAAGACGTAGAGTCCTAAGTCCATTGTATGTATGATCATTTTCAAAGTCGGACCATAGACGTGGTATGTTCCCAGATGTTTCTCCGACATCGTCAGTGAGTCTTGCCATTCTTAGCACCACACTACAACTCGTCAAAGAGACAAGTGAAGCCGATTCTTTGACCAAACATGTGCTAAACAATTGTGGTATCTCTCCTTCTATCCTGAATTATTCACATTTCCTTTATCCTTGTATCACGCTGTGAATTATAATTTTTACCGTGCCTATTTAAATGTAGTGTGGTGTTCTCCTCCCAGCGGCATTCATGAAAACCCTCCACATTCCACACTGGCGTTCTCACCCCCCCTTCATCCTTCTGCTAGGAATGTGGATCAGAGTTTGCCATATTGTTACGCAGTCCTCCCTCCTTGCATAGGTCTAATCAGAGTCTCCCTCTTGCTCCGTAAGATTCGTCTGCGATCTCCTTGGTTCACGTATTTCACTCGACCCCTGCCACCCTATCTGTGGGTTGACACACAAGAGACTAGGGCATAGCAAGTCATATACTTGGTATTAGGGATGGAAATAGGATAGACGCAACGGAGACTGGAGCTAGTTGGCTGACAGTAGATTTTACCAGAGCCGTGATCCTTGTAGTAAAGGCGTGACCATGAAACTTGGTGGTTTTGGCCTCGAATTAGTCACCCAGATGCACGGGAGGGGTAATAACGCTTGAGTAGCACAGATGGGGTGTCAGAGGTCGAGTAATATACGTGAACCAGGGAGATAACAGACGAATTTTACGGGGCAATAGGAAGACTCTGATAAGATTATGCAAGGAGGGAGGACTGCGTAACAATATGATAGACTCTGATCCACATTCCCAGCACAAGGGTGAAAAGGAGATGAGAACGCCAGTGTGGAATGTGTAGGGCTTTCATGAATGCCGCTCAGAGGAGCACACCACACTACATTTAAATAAGCACGGCAGGGCAGGAGAGATACCACAATTGTTTAGCACACGTTTGGTCAAAGGATCGGCTTCACTTGTCTCTTTGACGAATTGTTTTGTGGTGCTAAGAATGGCGAGACTCACTGACGATGCCGGCGAAACGTCTTGGAATGTACCACGTCCACGGTCCGATTTTGGGAATTATGCATACAATAAACTCCGGACTTGGTGTGTTCCTCTAGGTCTTCCTACCAATATGACCGAATTGAGAAAACAAGGTCAAACGATCCTTATTTTAGTGTTGCCTAATTGAATGTAATAATCGAATATCTTCGTGATACAATTCTAAACTATTTAATCTATTTCTATCTTCTTCACTAGGGAGTGTCGCATTCTCGCATACGACTTTCGTCTCAAATTGGGCATCTGCCTGGTTCTCGTATATGCTTGGGCCCCCGACAGTCGAAGTACAATCGATATGATCAAGAACACCATCATAACCACCGTCATCATCAGCAAAGCCATCCGTCATCTCACTTGCAACATCAAAAGTT